CCTATAATTTAATTTATGCGTAAATTAAATTAAAAGTGAATTTTAATTGACACCCATAATTCAAATATTCAATTAAAGTATTTAAATATTCGCAATACTTGAGGAGAGAGAGCAAAATCCCCACAGGGGTAGCAATAGTTGTATAGTTGAATATTTGAATTCAACTTTCGAGTTTGACACGTACTGTTTTCTTCCTGACTCAAACAATCTTACACAGAACAAAAAGTACTGAAGGTTAACGCATTTTTTGCACGTACTTTCGTACGCGACACATTCAAACAGAATGAAAAAAAACGACATATAAAAACACAGTAACATTTGTTATACTCGTGAAGCAACGTATTAAGGTGCACTATCAACAATTCTTTTTTATCAATAAAACTTGAAGAAAGTTTCATTTAGAATATACATAAATGCTTCATAGAGTTAGAATGATCATGTAGTTACTTGACATAGATATGTGTGTGTGTAATAACGACACTTTTTTATCTGATCAGAAGGAAAGTTTCAATTTACATCTGCAAAATATTTGTTTAAACTTTTCACTACTCAAGTTCAACAATCAGACAGTAAGATTAATCACAGATTCTTGCATTATACTAACTCTTGTGGCTAATTCAGTTCATTTTTGCATTTTATATTTGTATACTGATATATCTATATCGTCCAATATATCTCTGTATCCCTTTAAAACTATTCTCTTATGCCTGTACCCTTATCGCCATATCCTTAAGCTATGAAAACTATACCCTATTTCCTTAGTCTATATAATAATATCCCCAACTTGATACTACATTATTTTTAATTAACACTATATAACTAAAGTTTTATGATCTTATCTAGGAGTGTGAGATTAGTATTAGTAATAAGAAAATACTAATAGTTTCTCACTAGACTTAAATTTAAGTGTAACAGATTTTATAGTATAATTTAGTATTAGCGTCCTTAATGCTCATATGTTAGTATTAAATTATCATTATTTTTAATGGTAATATCTATAAATATGGTATAGGTTTTCTTCAAGCATGTAATCTCTTCTATTATCTCTATATAAAAATCTTTTCTAATAAATTTCTTTGATATTGATATGACATATCTTTTCCCTTTAGAAGCAATAAACTCTTTGAGGTTTGTTAATAGAGCATCCCTTTCAATGGAAAACCGTTCAGTTTATGAGTAGACAGTTAGTTGAGTCTGATTTGAAAGGAAAATACATTTTATATCAATATCAGAAAAATTTATTAGAAAAAAATTTCATATAGAGATAATACAAGAGATTATATGGTTGGAGAAAACCTACATCATATTTATTAATATTAATTAACATTAAAAATAATGCTAGTTTAACATTAACACATGAACATTAATAACGGTAATGCAAAATGATACCAAAATGTATTAGACTTAACTTTATGTCGAATGCTAATATATATTAAAATTAGTGTTACTTTTAATACGACATTTCTAGTTTTACCAATTGTTCTTAATTAAATCTCTGCTTTTATAAAAAGAACTGAATTTCTCCTTTAAATATGGGATCGCCGCATAAATGAAGGTGAGTTTTGTTATACACCATTTAAGGCAGATTTCAGTATTTGATCTTTTACGATCTCTTACGTCTGATTGTTTGACCTGGGAACACTTCTATATTTCTAATGGTAACTTTGCCATTAGAAACAATATACGAATTATCAATGTTTCAGAACACTAATCACTAGATAATATAATTAATTGTCATACGTGAACAATCATCATGAGCAAATCAATTCCACAACCTCAAGAAACTTTTTTGATTGGTAATCTCAAAGAATTAGATCCCGATCGTTTTTCTGAATCACTTCAGAGACTCCAAGAACTGTATGGTGATATTTATCGATTGACTATTTTTAAAACAAATATCGTAGTAGTGTCTAGTCACGAATTCATCAATTTCGTATGTGATGAATTAAAATTCGATGAAAAAATTGCTGGAGGTTTATTAGAACTGAGAAATGGAGGCGGTGATGGACTTTTTACTGCCCATACTTCAGAACCAAATTGGAAACTTGCTCATAAAATTCTAATGCCTGCTTTTGGACCACAAGCAATTCGAGATATGTTTCCAGCTATGATGGATATATCTTCATAACTTATTCTTCGATGGGAACGTTTCCCTGGAGAAATTGACGTTTGTGATAATTTCACTCGATTAACTTTGGACACAATTGCTCTATGCAGTTTTAATTATCGATTTAATAGTTTTTATTAAAATAAAATGCATCGTTTCATTGAAGCAATGATTAACGTTCTTATTGAAAGTGGTCGACGTGCTCAACGATTTTCTTTAGGGTGTGGGGTGTGGGTGTGGGTGTGGGTGTTAGAGAAAGGAATACCAGCAACCACATCTACACCCACACCCACGCTCACCCCCACACCCCCCCCACCCCCCCCCACCCACACCCACGCC